GCAAAAAGCAGGAAGGTAACAGATCTCTTGGCAAAGATCAGGAGACTGGGTATGCAGAGAGGGCGGGACTCTGTCCAGAGAATTCCTGGAATCCTATCTGCAAGGAGGAGGGGAGCCCCTTCTCAGGACTCCCCTGGGGAAGGTGTCAGGACCAGGGCATGGAGTCCAGAGCACCTCCATTGCCTCTGCTTCCTTGCCCTTGACTGTGCCACTTCACTGAGCTATCTTATCACGGTCATCTCAATTTTGATTTGGAAAAGGCGTCTCAGCATCTCAGCACAGCCAGGTATTTCTCTGTCCCTGCCTCTCTTTGTATTGATAACTCAAGTGCCTCTATTGCCACTGCCCCCACCTTTCCATCAGTCAGCACAGTGTCAACACATACAGCACATTTTGATCAGTCAGGATCATTCTAGTATCAATACAGATGACAGTAGGGGAGAGGGAAAGAAATGCAGTCTCCCAGTCAAAGGTAACTTCTAGGTTGAGGCCAAGACTTAGGGAGGGTTTAAAAAGAAGCCTGGGTGTTTCTGAAACAGACAGCCCTCATTTAGAGAACCAAAGTTCTAGAAAGACCTGGCCATCGTGCTGGAAAACCACCAAGGAGAACTGCATGGGGGGCTCACTCGCTTTCAGCAGCTGGCAGGTGAGTTGGGACAGTGATGTTTTCAAACAGCAACAAAGTGCTTACTAAGCGCCAGCCCCTATTCTAAGCACTTGGCACATATGAGATCATTTAAACACGTGGAGTCACAAGAGCCAAAGGAGTTAGGCAGAGAGAGATGAAGCGATTTTCTCAAGGCTACCCAGATAGAAAATTGCAGGGCAAGAATTGGAACCAGGTCATCTTACTCCAGTCTGCACTCTTCCCTTCTGGCTACAGGGTTACACAGAGTTCCTCCCAGCGGGTTGAGGGGGGATTGGGGATGATGAGGTGGGGGACACACACCCCAAGTATTTGCTCAGGATTTTACCAGCCCACTTGCAAAACCTATTATTTTAACCACTCAGAGAACAGCTAATGAAGCCATCTAAAAAAGCAAAATGAAATCTTAGCAGCTGTTTATCATTTTGCTTTTTCTCAGCCAATGAATATTAAAATTGCGGCTCTCTTGGTGCTGATCGAGGATCATTTTTTTGTAACCTTAAAAAGGACTCGCGTATGTCAAAAGGCCTTGTGCCACCAGCCTAACAAACAAAAAAGCCAGATGCCACTGAGAGAAAGGGCATTGGGATATTCTTAGGGACAGCTTGACTTGAAGTTAGCCATGAATGGGTAACTTTTCTGGGGGAGGAAGACCTTGGCGAGCCTGCAGGAGAGCAACTGATGTAAAAGACACTTTCAGGTCTTTTCACCATCTTTGCGGCTTTCCATGCAGGAGAGAAAGATGCCAGAGCTCCGAGTGCTGAGTGGGAGAATGTGTTCATAATGAAAAATGGGGACAGGGTGAAATGCTTTCGGCTTCCAAGATGTGAAGACCCTAATACACTAATATGATGGTGTCCCTGTCGGGAGTGATGGACCCACCACATGTCATCTGTTTAGCAGACACGCGCTAGCACCGACTGTGTGTTAGATATAAGCCATCCTCACCCTTGGACTCCTGTGGGAGACGGGTATTTCCAAGTGATGGGTGCCTGAATATCACCCACTGCGTACTTACCAGGTGTGCATCAACTGATGGCAAAGTGACCAGAAGCCTTTAATACAGGTGTCTCCCACCAAGTGCAGGTGCGAAGGTTAAATGATCCTCTGACTTGGACATATTCATAGGCGGCTTCCTGCTGGAGATGGTCCTGGAGGATTATGAGAAGGGTTCCAGGGGGCAAGGTTAAGCCCCACCAAGCCAGAGCTGCACGAGCAAACCACAGCAGTAAGAACACAAGCAGCAAAGCCATACATTTACATTTAGCACAAAGTCTGGCTAGTAGAGAATTCATCTGAAGAAGTAGATGGCAGCAGAATATAATTGCACAGAATGGCAGAATACAGGATTTGGACTTTCAGAAAGATGAAAAAATGCCTTACCTGAAATTCAGATGACCCCCTACATGCAAGGAAAGATCCTTCAGAACTGATCCATGAAGCCCTGCATCATACAAAAAAAAAAAATTGTGGCTCCAACCTGGGGTCAATAGTATAATAAACCAGCACCCCACTTCCTCTTTGCAAGCTGGGTGTGAGGTTCCTGAAGTCACTGCTCCCGGGCTCGGCACAGCCTTCTCACCTAAGGGCGCTGTACCTTTCAGGTAGAATCGCTTTGCAGGAAGTCCCAAGCTTGTTGCATGTGGAACTGATTGGCTCTGGTGCTTCCTGAACTGGTGATCTCTTCTGAGAAATTCTACAAGTTTTTTGGGTGTGATCATATACAATGACAAAGTGGGCAGTAGTATTTTTCCCAGGCCTCTAATTTATGTATTTGTGCTGGGCTGATGATTTAGATAGGAGCGCGATAAATTGATCAAATAAATTACACCAAACCCACACACCATCATTTCAGGGAACTGTCATTGCACCAAGCAGGTTCTATATCACCCAGTGTGGTGTCCAGGGAACTGCTGTGTTTCCGGAACGTTCTGCTGAGCTTTCGTTTGGACAGAAAGGTCTTTATTTCTCAGATTGGCCAGCAGTGTTAGGGCTCTGGAAGACATCAGGTAGCTGTGGAAGACAGTGATTATTACTCATGTGACCTTCACTAGTTATTGAAACTTTCTAATCCTCAGTTTCTCTTTCTGTAAAATGGGGATTTATAATTCCTACCTCAAGTGTGTGTTATGAAAGTAATTGATATTGGGGCCTCCCTGGTGGCGCAGGCGGTTGAGCATAGCTCTGTGAAGCTGTCCACAGCCTCTGCAGTGCTGGTTCGATCCCCGCCAGTGGTGGAGCAACCCACATGGCACGGCAGACCTCACCTGTCTCACCCACTGCTCCCCTCAGCAGTGTATTTCGTCAGTCTGCCTGTTCTGCTCCCCACTCTGTCTCTGGTGAATCATCTCACCCTCCCGCACCTGTGGCCTGTACCTCAATTCTTGTATAAATAAATAAATCTTAAAAAAAAAGAAAAGAAAGTAATTGATACTGGATTGAGACAGAGGAAGGAACCTGGTGTCAGACAAATACAGAATGCTAAGCTGACTTCATCCCTGGTTGGCCAGTCATAATACTATATGAACCTCAGTGTCCTGGTCTATAAAGTGGGTTTGGTAGTGATTCCAAGAGAAAATCTTCTGCGTGTGCCATGACAACGTTGTCTCGTGGAAGGCAGCTGGAGCTGGTGCCCACTTGCTTGTGCCCGAGACCCAGTGCCAGGAGAGATGGACTTCTCACCTGCTGTGCTAAGGAAGCCCAGGGACTGGGGCCAACATCAACATGGATCTTTGGGAATAGGAGAAGCAGGTGCTGCTCCACATAGCACCCCATTTTGATATGATGCTGGCATGTTGCACGGTAACCCGAGAGATTGCATCTGAGAGAGAGAGCGCCGTGAGAGTGGGTTCCTCTGTGCAGGCTCCCATTTCACTAAGCAGCTGTTTCTTCCTCTCTGGTGTGAGAGGACTCTCATGTCCAGAGAGCTAGTGAAGTACTACATGGGGAGAAATGGTAGAACAGGAACACTTGAAAATAGGACAAGGAACATTTGGAAAGGGGTACGCCCATTAATCAATTTGTGTTGGGAAAGCTAAGAAATAAAGAAGGGGAGAGGAGACAAGGTGGGGGAGAGGTGAGAGGAGAGAGGGACATAGGAATGGAGGGAGGGAGCAAGAGCTTGGGATTCCAACTTTATCACAGACTAACTGGGTGACCTTGGACAAGTTAATTAGCTACTCCCTACAGCCTTCATTTTTTTTTTGTTATAAAATGAGAACAATAAAAATTCCCACACAGCTTCTCATGGGGGATTGTAATTTGGTGCATCCTCTATGGAAAACGATAGGAAGATAGTGTAAAAAATAAAAAAGGAAAAAAGAAAAATACCGGCTGGTCTCACTCACAGCAGGAATTTAGAAAACCTAAAAAAGGGACCAGGAAAAAGACTAATTATAATAAAGTAAAAATCAAAATCAACAAGCAACTATAAACCAGAGACACACTACAGGATGGTGGGGGGAGAAGGGAATAGGATTAAAACAAGGGGGGGTGGGAATTATACGGGGACTATAACCAAGACGAAAATGCATACATTGTGCAAAAATGAAATATGATGTAAAAAATATATAAAATAAAATAAAAATAAATTTATACTTAAATTTTAAAAAAATAAAATAAAAATGGAATTACCATATGATCCAGAAATTCCACTGCTGTGTATTCACCCCGAGAATATCAGGTCACTAATACACAGAGACTTAGGTACTCCGTGTTCCTAGCGGCGCTATTTGCAATCCCTGAGTCACGGAGGCATCCTAAATGCCCAACGACAGCCGCTGGGTAAAGGGATTGTGGACTGTGTAGTCAACTGGAATTTAAAAGTTTGAAATAGGGCCTTTGGGGCACAGCGGGTGGATCTGGAAGGGATGGTGCTCGGTGAAGTAAGTCAGAAAGTGAAAGACCCATATCGGGCGGCTTCACTTATTTGTGGAATAGAAATTACCAAAGAAGACAAACTGGCAAAATACAAGAAAAAGAAGTTTTGGAGGTTACCAGAGGGAGTGGGGAGCGGGGCAGGAAAGAGGGGATGGGAGTCAGCGACTCGGGGGCTTGGTGGAGGTGAGGGAAGCATGTGCACGGATGTAGGTGTCAACATGCCCTCCCCAAAGTTGCGTAGATGCGTGAGCAGCTGACACAACAGTGTGAAAAAGTGGCTGCCTGAGCGAGAGCTCTGGGAAGTTAACACGAATTCAGCATTTAGATCCGGGCCCAGCACTTGCTGAAAACTCCCGGGAATGAAAGCTGCCGTGAGGGTGATTGGCTGCTCCCCTGTCACCCTGTCTGCTGCGCAGGGCTCTCTGGTCCACGTGGCTCAAATCTCTTAAGAACTTTGCATTTTCTGTCTTTCCAGGTCAGCAGGTCCTGGGCCTGGTGGAGAACCAGAGTGACTGGTACCTTGGAAATCTGTGGAAAAATCACCGCCCTTGGCCGGCCCTCGGAAGAGGTTACAACACAGGTAAGCCCCGAGGTGGTGGGCAGAGGGTCCAGAGGGGCCGTGTAGGACTGGAGGCCCCTTCCTGTGTGACGGGGTCAGCTGAGGCTCGGGCAGGGCTGCCTGGCTGCCCAAATCCAGTGGACAGTCATTCAGAGCACATTCCAGGTCCTTCCTGGTGCCACGGCTGCAGCACAGGTGGCTGTCGGGCTGTAGCAGTGGAGGTCTGTAGCAGTGTCCTGACTGCCCGTCCTGCATCTGCTGGTCGTCGCTGCCTGGTAGACCTCTGGCTCTATTCTCGTGGACTGGAGATGGTTCTGCAGTGACAGAGCATCCCAACACTTCAGTTTCTTAACATGACAGAAATTGATCTTCCTGGCTCCATGCCCGTTTTCATCTCTGGGGATCCATGCTGTGGCCGGCACTTAGGACTGATCTGGACACAGCCGCCTCCCACCACCCCCGCCCCCGCTGGTGGAAATAGCCATAGTAGAGACTGACCCTGAAAGTTTCTGACCGGAAATGACATCTCTGCTAATATTTCATTGGCTAAAGCACGTCATGTGACCGCGCCTACCTTTGAGGGGTGGGGAGAGGCAGCCGAGCGAGTGCCCATGAGAACACAGAATTATTTGGTAATTTACACTCAGGAGCACCACAGCCCTTAAACACCGTGTGCTTAAAATCAAGTCTGTTCTACCTGTAGCTAATCCAGCTTTTCTGTCTCTGTGAACAGTATCATTCAGTTATTCATTCATTCCTTATCCATCTGCTGTCCCTTGAGTGCTTACTATACACCAGGCCCTGCACTTGGTGGGCCAGACACAGCCCCCCACCTCACGGAGCATGTAAACTGGAACCAGAGAGGCTGCCCTCTTCCCCGGGGCTCAGTCCTTCCAGGGTCTATCTTTGAAACTCCTCTGGACCCTTCTGCCTCTTCATCCTCTCTGCTTCTCAGAGGATGCAGACCTGTGCCCTCTGTCAAGGCTAGAAGGGGGAGCTCAGGACACAGGGGGGTAGGTCCAGCCCAGAAGGACTGGACCTGGCATCTGAGACCAGCTGGGTTGGGATGGGGCAGGCGTCTGGGGGTGGCGCCGCCCGAGGGTGAGAAGTAAAGGCTGGCCCAGAGGCTCAGGCCAGTCTGTATTAGGAAAGAGCCAGAATGTCAGCTCTGAAAGTTGGGGATGAGGCTCTGGAGCCATCAGATGCAAAAAGGATAAAGGATGAGGATCAAGCCTGTGGGGTGCAGTTCAGAGATGGGGTCGGGTGGAGTCAGAACTGGAAGAGGACAAGGAAAGGAAAGTCAGTCGAGAGTCACTGCCGGAGCAGCCAGCAGTAGCAGCCAGCGGTAGCAGCCAGGCACCCTGAGTGGAAGACCAGCCTTTGACATTTGCCACAGTATCCAGGTCGCCTCACTCTATGGGATGCTCTCCTGTTACACCTGTCAGGCCTCACAGCCTGCAGAGGTTGCCATGGAAGAATTCAGCCCCTCCCAGACCCTGAGCTGAATCTAAAAGGGTCTCCTGCGGTGCTGGGCGTTAACCCTGGAGTTGCTGGATGGTGGGAGGGCTAAGGAGTCCTGGACAGGGGCTGAAGCAACTCAGCAAGGTTCCTTTATAGGTGGCTGGGAAGTGTTTAATGAGGAAGGCAGTGTCTCTGGGGCAGCTCAGCACCGGCCAGGCACTGTGCCAGGTGATTTGTGGGTGTTCATCTCATTATATCCTGATGCTAACCCTGGGAGGCAGGTCTATTCTTATCTCTGTTTCATGCACACGAATACTACAGCTCTGAGGGTTTATGGCTGCAGTCTGCTAAGTCAGGTGCCTGCGATGTTGACTACTAACCTTCTAGGTGGACTTTAATGGCTCTGGGTTCAACAATACTTTTGAAAAATGTAGAATCCCTCCTTCTGCCCTCAAAAGGCCCAGGATCTGACCTTTAAAAAGCCTCCAGGATGTTTCTGGAACAGAAGGTCCAAGGTCTGCTCTGATAAAAGAGACCACTCCTTCGCCTCCCAGCAAACTTTGCCAGGAGCAGTTTTCTCGATGTATTTGAGGCTGGGCCCTCTGAGAACTCTGGTGGATCCAGAGAGGCCCTGTTTTCCTTTGAGAGCCAGGGATCACCCCGTGTTGGTCTTTTGTGCCTGGGCCCAGATCCGTTCACCCCAGATTTTCATAAAGCTGTAGACACCCCTGCTTGTCGGGTAGGAGAGAAAAAGTCTCAGGTAGCACCTTCTGTCTATTTACCTCTGTCTTCCACAACATATAATCCTAGGAAATGTCACCCAGAGATAAACAGCAGGGCCTCGAGGACACGACACCAGGGTCACAGTTATCTGCGTAAAACAAAAACCACGGGTCATCAATTCACTTTGCAGGCAGAAGAAAAATGTAGCATGCTGGGGAATTTATTATGACAAAAATGACATGTCCCCTCTCGCCCCCCCCTCCCCCCAGTTTGCCTCAGAATATGAGGTCAGGACACAGACAAGTAGCTCAGCCACCTCCAGCTCCTACTTGATATGCTGAGGCCGTGAGTTACTTCCCTTCTTGCTGCCACTAAAAGGGCAGAGCAGATGGAAAGAGCCTTGTTAGAAGTGATGTGTCCATTTAAATAAGCCAGTGATACCAAGTGATCATTATAAAAGGATTTATGCGGCATAGTGATGCTTTGGCTTCCATCAAGGGGATTTGTTATTTTAAGACCAGGAATGGTGCCACACATCAGCGGGTGAGTCATCCAGACATTTAGATTCTCATGGAAATCAAGGCAGGGACATCAATCATCAATCCCAGCACATCTTAAACCTCCACAAAAGGGTGTCTCCAGCAGAGCCCTGTGGCAAAGCCTCAGCTTAGTGGGGGAAACTTAGTGGGCGTCACAGTTCAGTCTCTGTGGGAGCTTGGCCAAGTTGCTTCACCTCCTTGAACCCTCAGTCTGTTCCTCGTATGGTAGCATCACAGCATTCCATGTGCAAGGATTCATAGCTTAACATGTCATGAGCCTCGTCTGGGGCTTGCATAAAACAAGCATTCAGTGAATCTTAGTCTGTGCCCTCTTGCATTTTTCTGCCACGTATGTTATGGGGAATTAAACCCATCTGCTTTAAAAATGGTGATGATATGCTTGGCTAGGGATTGCTAAGGCCTCAAAGCCCTCTGGTCAGAAAGAACCAGTGCATGTCTCCTCTTGTCTCCAGCTATAATCAGCCCCTAGCAATTTTTTCTCCTCTCTCTCCACTGTCTGGAAAAGATTGGCTTGTTGTGTTATTATAGGGAAAAAATAATGATTTTAGTTTCGTTTTTCTATCAGCTTCTTAATTGTGGTTTACTTTGAAATTCCCTGGAAAAAGCCTGAGATGTTTGAGTCGGGAGATCTGTCTTCAGACTTGACCCTGTGACATTTCAACCTGTGCCTTTGGAAAAGCTACTTGGGTTCTCTGAGTGTTGGGTTCCCCTCTGTATGCTGAGAGTGATAACCCCACTCCTGAGCCTTCCTTGAGGCTCCTTTATTGGGGGGCCAGCTCCACAGGACGGCCTGGCAACGCTTTTGGAAACCGATTATATAGTTCTCATTGCTGCTCCTGACCACCGTCTAACTGAGTCAGCGTCTCCAAGGAATTTAGATTGAACTCAGATTCAGCCACGTTCACCAGGCAAGATATACCTTAGAAGGTAGACCTTCCCCTTCCAAGAGCCGGTCAGCTTGCCCCTTCCTCTCTGTATTCTTCTTCCCCTGTCTGCTGGCACAAGGCCCACTGTAAGATTAGGAAAGAGCTGCCAGTCATCTTCCATCCCACCCCCTCCCTTCTTATGGGAGCAGTTTACAACTTAATTCCATCTTCGCGGAGCCGCTGAGCCACAGAGGCTGTGGATGACCAAGCAGATCGAAGTGTGGGGCCCTTTGCCCAGAACTGTTCGGGTGGAATTAAGGGCCGTACCCCGCTCCTTACACAGAGATGGGTTTGTCCCCGACCATTCTGTCCATTCATCACCTGCTAGGTGCAAAAAGCTGTCATTCACCCAGCATTCAGCTGTCAGCAGGACTTTTTTTTTTTTTTTAACGGAAGTGTGACAGGCTCATTAAGATTCAGCCCATCTCGGTTCCTGTGCTGATGGGTGACTGTCTTAAAAACAAACAGCAGCCCAAAAAAAGAAAGTAACTAAAAGTAGCAGGTGTCTGGGGAAAGAGGTAGGCAGGCCAGGGAACAGAAGGGCACAAGTTTACAGAGGTCTTCTGCATGGTCCCAAAAGTTACCCAAAGGGAAAGTGTGTCCTCCCTGAGATAAAGGACATAATATTAGCCAGACAAGGTGCTTTAGGAAGCAATTTATAAATCAAAGGTATCTTGTTCTTTCAATCTCCGAATTAGACGAGAGACAGGCAGATGGAGACCTGGCTGTCTGGGAGGGGAAGCATTTTGCTAGTGTCCTTACCGCCCATCCACAAAATCAGGATGTTCAAGGACTGACTCACCTCTGAGCCTGTGTTGGCCCATGAAGAAGTAGAAGGTAAAGCTGGTTTACAGGTCAGCACCGCAGCAGGGATTCAAAAGGAGAAAACATTTGAGCAATTGCCAAAGAACTATTAAAGACTGTACTAGGAAAACTGGACCCTGGGTCTGTAGGCTGACCCTTTGCTCTGCCTCTGACTTTGATGTCCTGAGACCCTAGACTTGTCCCTCCACTTATCTGAGCTCCTCGTCCTGTCTGCCAACAGCCGCATCTCTTTCGGTGCTGGAGGAACACGGTGCTTGAGGGATTTCTGTCTGTGATCATTGCATCCGGAGAAACTAGGCTTGAATCGATTTCATTCAGCACCTGCGACTGAATTATTACTGGTAGAAAATGAATTTTAAAACACGAGTGACAGCAAGAATCTTCCTTCAAGACGATTTTGGTCTATTGATAACCGAACTGTGGTTTTGAGGTGAAGAAACAGAGTGTGAGAGAAAGTCAAGGAGCCAAGGGGGAGTGGTGGGTTTAAAAAGAAAATGTCCTTTTTGGTACCTGAGTTGACCAGATT